ATGGAGTGACGTCTTATTCTATGGCGCTTGCTATGACTGATTGACTTCCCTAGTCTGCCCTTTGGGTTTTCAGCTTAGGATGTTGTTTTTGGTTTTGTCCTAACTTTTGTCTAGGTTTCTTTTTTCTTGCTTTGGAAACCTAGCGGACTTTATTTTGTAACCCTAATTTTTGTCTAGGCTACCCTTTATGGTTGTTCGGGTTTCCTAGTGGGTTTACCCTAACTTTTGCGTAGCCCCCTTTTGTGGGTTTCCTACCGGGTATCTTGCCCTCTCTTTTTGGCCTTTAGCTTTTATGGGCTTCTTTTGATTTTTGTTTTCTTTTTTCACAACATTGGCGAAACACAACTTTACTTATGACGAGGTAAAAATTTTTATCTTGTATTTCTAGTCAATCAGTAGTGATGGATTTGACTTTTATTTTGGTCAATGTCGCATTTTGATTACTTTGACGCATTTTGAAAATGTTTGCTTAAACATGGTTATTAATGAGGTTTAGACATGAATAGCAAGAAGAGAAACAGATAGTAAGAATGACATTCTTTGTAATTAATAGGGAAATATGTGCCCTACAATGCTTGAGGGTCGGGCTAGCCCCGAGGAGTAATCTCTAATAGTCATTGGATTTACAAATCCTAAGAATCAGAAGGAGAACACCTAATGACTAAAGTCGCTTTTGACACTTGAACCCCTCTATTTGGGAAAATCTGATTTGAGGTGCAGAGGGGAGACTTCCCTTTTCTCCATGTAGCTTGATCCTTTGTAGGGTCATGCCCTAGGCCATGCCCTAGGCCATGCTTTAAAGGATTGTCTTTAAAATCTGGTGGCTCCGTTATTCCTTGAGAGTTTCTAATGAGCCCTTGGTTTGGGCGATATCCATATTTTCTCATCATGTGGGTCACCTTCATATTGTTGGGGAAGTCTTTTCATATTGGCAAAAGATATTTCAAAGATCCTTTTCAGCTGCATTCATTCAAGGTAGGGCAAATGACTTGCTGATCCGACTGTCGTCTTTAGCTCAAACTGTGACTAGCTTTCCGCCTACCCTGAGTTTGTCTCTTTGACAGAGCGTTGAAAGAATTGCCTCATCGTCGTGAATCCAGAGTCTCTTCAATTTCCTCTTTGGGTTATGTTTCCTTCGGTCTTATTATTTCTTCCTTTATGCTTGGGAGCATTGTCTCGTAGCTCCTCGGGGGAGTAAATTTTTCCATTTCTTGTCTTGCCCCCGAATGACGGCTATGCTGGAGATATCTTCATTGATGGATGGACGATGTTTCTGCGTATCTCAATGGTACAATTTTATTTGATGTATGGGGTGAACGAATGTAACGACATCCTTGCCCCCTCTTCCTTATTAACTTGGATACCCAACGGTTGAGGCTTATTATCCTTCTTAGGCGGATCAACCGTTGGAGATAACTTGATGACGAAAGGCTCACTCTCCATCTTATTCCGATTTGTGGAAAGCACATTGCCTAATCCTTTCTTTTTATTATCTTATTGTTATTAAAGTGATAATGAATGCAATTTATGAATACAATAGACACTTGAAGAGATGATGAAAACAAACAATTTTATTTATTTTATCCAGACAGTGTACATTCCTCAATGCAATGTTTCAAAGTACATTTTTTTTTTAAATGGAGAAGCCTAATCCCGTGCATGGCATGCGAATGCCCTAATCCTCTTTTCATGGTATTGAGGAATGCCCACTTCTTCGATTGTCTATTATTAGATGCATGTTTATGAGGATATGCAAGTGTTTGTTTTTTTTTTCCTAAACATTATCATGTTTTATTTTCGAACATGATGTATGATAGTGTTTGGGATTTTGCGTTTTTTTTTTTTTTTTTTTTTTTGTATGCGGATGAGGGATGAAGAATACCAGCCGCTTTCTAGAATGCAAAAAGATTTTTATTGAATGATTTATGAGATGGATATTCCTTAAGACAATGACTTAGGTATCCTCCTTAAAGCTTATGTTTTATGGGGTATCCTACCCACCTCGGTGTAATGGTTCATTCCCCATCACAGATTTTGACAAGTATAATGGCAATCACCATCACACCTTAGTACACTTGTCCCTTCCTTATCGCGAAGGTCACAAATGTGCTCGGGGCCTCTTTCGCCATTGTCTTAGGGATATCTAGTGCTCCCTATAATGAATGTATTTATGCATGCACTAGTACAAATGGGCACTAGATGTTCAAAGTGCGATAACTTTCGACTGGGATGTCTGATTTGGACGCACAACATATCAAAACGAAGAGAAAAAGGTGAAGAATCAAGCTGCAAATGCCCGTAGGGGATTTGGCCCAGTAATTTTCTCAAAAAACGCCTCTAAGACCCATTTTTTTAGGGATTTATTAAAATGATACGTATGCATACTTTCCTTATGCATTTATTTTCTCTCTTGGTTTTTCCACTTATGACATGATGCAATATGAATGATACGACTTTGTCAACATTATTGTTATAAATGTTTTGATTTTGTTATTTATTATTTTATTTATTTTGGATTTATTATTTTTATTTTATAGCCTTTTATCTCTTCTGTCGGACTGCGTGGCTACTTAGCTTACAAAGAACCTGAAACCAGGCTAGCTAAAAGGCAGACTGTCCGAGATAAAAATATGGCTTTATGCGAAAGAATAGTTAGCGTCCCTTATCTCTTCTGTCGGACTGCGTGGCTACTTAGCTTAGAAAGAACCTGAAACCAGGCTAGCTAAAAGGCAGACTGTCCGAGATAAGGGGGTTTATTTGCAAAAATATTTTTTGTGATTTTTGTTTTGTTGTTTGTTTATGCTATGCAACAGACAAATGCAACAAACATATGCGCACACAATTCGATCATCCGCGAACAAGCGAGAATTTGTTTTTATCATGAGGTAGGGTTTTCCTGCAGAAAAGTGCATTGGTCAGGGCAGGTTCTAACTGTTCTCACCAGGCTAAGGCCCCCAAGGTGCCCCCATTATAGGGTCCCTACTCTCCAGCCGTCCAACTATGCTCAACACTAAGGCCAGAGTCGGTCTTGTTGCCAAAAGAGGAAGGTTATCACCTTGAGTGGTGGTTTCCGATCACACTGGTGGGCACAAGGCCCTAACTACAGCGAACCGTACCTGCCACCCACTCCCTATGGTTTTCTCACTTGCCCCCGGGTATAGAGGGAACTGTAGTGTGCGAGGGTTTGTGTACAATTTGTATTTCACACAATTGCGGAAGTATAAACAAACAACAATTATTTGAAAGCCAAACAATAAAGCATGTTATAATACAAGGCAGGGTAAAAGCGCTATTTTCTTGGTTTATTTTTAAGCTGGCCCATCACTAAATGGGATCAAATCTCTAGGCTTCCCCAGTGGAGTCGCCATCTGTCGCCGTCGTCAAAAAGAGACGGTCGGAGCGACGCGATGGTTTCGACCCTTTTGATTTTTCGCGTTTTTTTATGGGTGGTTACAACGCCTTTAGGTTGTCTGATAACCGGGCTAACCTAGGGGCGAGGTTTTCGAAAGGTCGTCCTTGGGTTGTCTGATAACCGGGCTAACCCAAGGACTAATTTTGAGGGGTTCTGTGGAGTCGCCACCGATGTTTTTACCGGAAACATCGGAAAAGGGGTTTTTAAAAGGCGTTGGTTTTCGAAAACCAACTTTGGTCATTAGAACCAGAGTTGGGTAAGGGAGTTAGTTACGTGTAAAGGAAGTATTAGTTCCTTTACTACGCCCCTTTCGGGTTCCCTATGATAGGCCAGCTATTTTATTGATAAATAAATCGGAAAAATAACGCTTTTACCCTTTTATTATGCGGAATTTAAATTTATGACTACATGGCCCTAATAGCTATTTGCACAATTTATGTAAAGCGGTAAATAGACAAAGAGGAAGAGAAAACCTTCGTAGCAGGCTTTTCTATTAATTCTTCAAAAGAGGGTGCTTTGTGGCAGCCCTTCACTCTACACAGCGCTCAAAAACTCTCTTGAAACGCTCAAAAACACTCTCAGAAACGCTCAGAAACTCCGGAAATGCTTCGGAGGGGTTCTAGAGAGAGAAATTCTAGAGAGAAGGAGGAGAAACTGTGTGTTTTGGTGTGTTGAAAAGGGGGAATGGAGCCCCTATTTATAGTTTTTCGCGCCTGACAGGTCGAGACCGCCGTTTCGTCTGACAGGGTCGAGACCGCCGTCTGGACAATCCAGACCGCCGTCTCGACCATGGCAGGGGGTCGAGACCGCCGTCTGGATAATCCAGACCGCCGTCTCGACTAGGCAGAAGTCGAGACCGCCGTCTGGACAAGCGAGACGGCGGTCTCGTCCCTGGCGTGAGGCGAGACGGCGGTCTGGTCCTTCCAGACGGCGGTCTCGTCCCTTCAGGGCGAGAAACTTTATTTTTCGGGCCAAAAAACCCTCCTATCTTAGTACGGGGGCCTAATAGTCTCTCCTAATGGCTTGTTAGGCTTCGGCCGTCTTCAAATAGGGGGTCTTTTGACTTTATTTGGAGGCCGGGCAAGATTTGGGGTCTATAGGCTGAGAACAAATACAGGCTAAATAGTTTTCGTTTTTTTCACTACTCTCCTGTTAATTGAAATTTGTTTAGAATCACAGACTTTTTTAACACTTAATTCTTATTTAATGAACCTTTATCATGATTTAGAAATTCAATCTATCTAAATTTGCAAGTTTTAGGTTAGAAAGAGGGTTAAAGAAATTTTCACCAACCATTCCTCTTCAAGAGATAATTTAATTAATTTCTGCTCTCATAGTGTTAGTGAACATGGTCTCTGATAGCAACATTGGGTAAATTCATAACATGTATGAAAATTTATATTGCTCAAGGCTTATAATCGGATAGAGAGCCTAGTGAAACTCTGGAGGAGGGCAATCTGCGAGGCTGCTAGCATCTGGAGGTTGGTAGTCCTGCATTACAGGTAATGGAACACCTACTTTCTCCCAAATTTACTGAACATTTTCTCCAAAAATAACATGAAATTCATAACATGTATGAAGAGGAAAAATGGAGCATGAGATCAACATCCTTGCGAAGCATGCTACGGATGCACTTCGGGAAGCTGCTGGCATCTCAGGGGTTGTAGTCCTCAATTCTAGGTAATTAAACAATTCTGCTTTCTCTGATTCTTTATTTTATTTATTTTTTTAGTTTTTTATGAGATATCATTTCTTTATAATCCAAATTTTTACTTATCACAGTATTATAATGCACACCTTTTAAATATGTTATTCATGTTTTAAATCGACCTTTTCTCTGTTAATTTCTTTTTCTGGTTAATTTTATCACTCACAGGTCGTGTTTAAAGCATTTATAGAAATATAAATATTTAAAAGATGAAACAGAGGAAATATAAAAACTTTTCCCTTAAATTTTCCTTTTATTTTGATTATATGTGTGAACACATTTTTATTGTTGGAATGAAATATATAAAATATTGTTAAAAATCTTACAAGTTTGTTGGACAAGACAGAGTTGTTTGTTGCCAATAATCCAGTCGGAGTGGAATTTCGTGTGCAAGAAATGGTTCAGATGCTAGACCAAAAACAACCAAATGATGTTCTACTACTAGGGGTATGGGGGATGGGAGGCATTGGTAAAACAACTATTGCAAAATCAATTTATAACAAGATTGGCCAAGTTTGTTTACAATAACAACTTCTATTTGATATCAACAAAGAAAACAATACAAGGATACGTAACATTGAATAAGGCAAAGTTATATTAAAAGAAAGTTTTCTTCATAAAAAGGTACTTCTTATACTTGATGATGTAAATAAATTACAACAATTAAATGTTTTGTGTGGAAGTTGTGAATGGTTCGGTTCAAGGAGTAGAATAATCATCACAACCAGAGATATACATATACTGAGAGGGAAAAAAGTTGATCAAGTGTTCACAATGAGAGGAATGAATGTAGATGAATCTATTGAGCTTTTTAGTTGGCATGCATTCAAGCAAGCAAGTCCCAAAGAAGATTTTATTGAACTTTCAAGGAATGTAGTTACTTATTCTGGGGGATTGCCACTAGCTCTTGAAGTCCTTGGGTCCTATTTGTTTGATATGCAGGTAAGAGAGTGGAAGAATGTATTGGAAAAACTCAAGAAAATTCCCAATGATGAAATTCAGGAGAAGATAAAAATAAGCTATGATGGTTTAAGTGATGATACAGAGAAAGGAATATTCCTTGATATACCATGTTTCTTTATAGGAATGGACCGAAATGATGTTATCCATATATTAAATGGTTGTGGACTTTTCCCAGAGAATGGAATACGTGTCTTGGTAGAGCGAAGTCTTGTAACTGTAGATATGATAAGAACAAACTTGGAATGCATGATTTGCTAAGGGACATGGGAAGAGAAGTTATTCGTTCAAAATCACCAATGGAGCTTGAGGAGCGTAGCAGATTATGGTTTCATGAAGATGTGCTTGATGTGTTATCAAAGGAAATTGTAAGACCTTCATTTATTATTTTAGTATTTAAAATGTCTAAAGCTAATGGAAACTGACGTATACATTTATTCCTTGCTCATTAACCCTCATTTTTACAATTGATTGTCACAGATTTTGAAAATTAGTTTGGTTATAAACTGTTTTTTTTCTCTTAAGCTCCTGGAATAAATGAAGGTTTTTTTTTTACCTAGGTTTTAACTACCATATATCTTTAGCTATGCATATTTCACTATTCATTTTCTCTGATAGGGAAAAAAAATTTATTGAGGGATTGACTTTGAAGTTACCAAGAAGTAATGAAAAATCTCTAAGCACTAAAGCTTTTATGAATGTAGACCCCAAATCTTGTCCGACCTCATAATAAAGACCAGAAGACCTTCTATTCAAAGATGGACGAAGCCTAAGAAGTCATTAGGAGAGACTATTAGGCCCCATACTAGGATAGGAGGGATTTTCTGCATGTAAATAAGGATTTTCGCCTTTTAGGGTCAAGACCGCCGTCTCGCTTCTCGGGACCGCTGTCTCGCCACTTCTGCAAGTCGAGACCACCGTCTCATTTGGCGAGATGGCCGTCTCGCCACTTGCGAATGGCGAGACGACCCTCCCGGTTTGCGAGATGGCCATCTCGACCTTGTCAGACGAGACGACCGTCTTGACCTGACAGGCGCGAATCCCTATAAATAGTCGCACCATTCCCCTCATTTCACACAGTTCTTCCATTCTCTCTCTTGTCACTTCATCAAATTCTCTTTCTAGAACCCCTCCGAAGTACTTCTGGAGTTTTCTGAGAGTTTCTAAGAGTTTTTATAGCGTTTTTGAGAGGTTTCCGGCACTGTAGAGAGTGAAGGGCTGTAAAAAAGCACCCTAATTTTCAAGAGATTAATATAAAGCTTGCCTCGAAGGTTTCTACATTTTCTCTCTCTCCTTTACTGCTTTATTTTTATTGCGCAGTAGATATTAGGGCCATGTAGTCGTAATTTTAAATTCCGTAAATAAAACGGTAAAAGCGTATTTTCATCTGTTTACTTATTTAAATAGCTGGCTTATCATAGGGAACCCGAGAGGGGCGTCGTAAGGGAACTAACACTTCCCTTACACGTAACTAACTCCCTTACCCAACTTTGGTTCTAATGACCAAAATTGGTTTTTCGAAAACCAACGCCTTTTCACTCCTTTTCCGATGTTTCTGGTAAAAACATCGGTGGCGACTCCAGAAGAACCCTTCAAAATTAGTTCTTGGGTTAGCCCGGTTATCGCACAATCTAAGAACGCCTTTTGAAAAACCTCGCCCCTAGGTTCAGCCCGGTTATCGGACAACCTAAAGGCGTTGTAACCACACCCATAAAAATGCAAAAATTAGAAAGTCGGAACCATCACGTCGCTCCGACCGTCTCGTTTTGACGGCGGCGACAGATGGCGACTCCACTGGGGAAGCCTAGAGAGTTGATCCCATTTAGTGATGGGCCAGCTTAAAGTAAATAAACCAAGAAATTACGCTTTTATCCTACCTTGTATTATAACATGTTTTAATGCTTGGCTTTAATAACTGTCGTTTGTTTATACTTACGCAATTGTTTGAAATACAAACTGTACACAAACCCTTGCACACAACAGTTCCCTCTATACCCGGGGGCAAGTGAGAAATCCATAGGGAGTGGGTGGCAGGTACGGTTCGCTGTAGTGATGGCCTTGTGCCCACCAGTGTGATCGGAAACCACCACTCAAGGTGATAACCTTCCTCTTTGGCACAAAGACTGACTATGGCCTTAGTGCTAAGCATGGTCGGAAGGCTGGAGAGTGGGGACCCTATAATGGGGGCACCTTGGGGGCCTTAGCCTTGGTGAGAACAGTTAGAACCTACCTTCGCCAATGCACTTTTCTGCAGGAAAACCCTACCTCGTGATTAAAACGACTTCTCTCCTGTTCGCGGATGATCGAATTGTGTGCGCATTTGCTTGTTGCATTTGTTTGTTGCATAGCATAACCAAACAACAGAAAAATCACAAAAAACATTTTTTTTCGCAATAAACGCCCTTATCTCGGACAGTCTGCCTTTTAGCTAGCCTGGTTTTAGGTTCTTTGTAAGCTAAGTAGTCACATAGTCCGACAGAAGAGATAAAAGGCTATAAAATAAAAATAATAAAAAAAATGGGACCTTGTTCACAAACATTACACTCATAAATCATTCATACAGATAGTCTATTCTTTTTTCCAAAAAAATAATACGCAAATACCATACAACATGCAGAAATAAAACATGATAAATAGAAAAATAAACACTTGCATTCAATAAGCATCATTTTCATAAAACATGCATTTTGGTTTTAGAAAATGGAGGGGACTAGTAGACAATTGAAGAAGGTAGACATTCCCCGATACCATACTGAGAAGCTGGAATGGCTTTGCGCGGTAATACCACCAGAGGTTCGCTTCGACTTTGAAAAATCCTATGGACGGATTCTCGACCTGCTGAAGATCTGTGTTGATCAAGTGTTCATCAGGGTACTAGTTCACTTCTGGAACTCCAGTATGCGCTGCTTTGAATTTCCGCAGTTCGATATGGTGCCCACCTTGGAGGAGTATGAAATCATGTTGAAATGGCCCAAATCAGCCAGGATCCATATCCGCCACGGGGCATATACTCCTGCAGCACAAGTCGCTGCCATCATCCAACTACCTTTCCGGTAGACTACCCTGATAGAAAAAGGGAACATCCGGGGTTGGAAAGTCTCAATGTTAGAAGACCATCTGTCCGACTTGGCTGAAAGGATAGAATGGGTCGCTTTTAACAAAACCCTGGCCTTAATCATATTTGGAACAATCTTGTTTCCCTTCCACCTCGACACAGTGGATCAAGTTGTCATGGACGCCTTCTTCGCCTGGGACGTGAACTCAAAGAGTCCCTTGCCTGCAATTCTTGCCGACACCTTGCTCTCAGTGAAATTCTGCCGCCAGAAGCAAGGAAAAACACTTCGTTGCTGCTCTTCACTACTCTTTGTGTGGGGCATTACACATTTTTATGCCTCTAGTCACATGGGATGTTCCCCGACCTTTTGAGGAGCTTCTCCAAAATCCCTCTCCAACGACGCTTAACCTCAGAGTGGAAGGACGAGTTGGAACAATGGGACGCTAACCATTTATCCTGGGTCTGCCCTTGGTTCCGACCCGGTCCAGTCCTCATCAGATGTGGAGACTATCCGAATGTACCCTTGATAGGACTCAGGGGTTGCATAGCCTATTCACCTGGAGTAGCTATGAGGCAACTCATGAGGACTCAAACTACAATTTCTTGAGGGGAACTCGGAGGATTGTGTTTCTTCGGAGACCCATGCACAATCGCCAACTCACTAGCCGTAAGAAAAGCATGGGAGAAACCAATCTATATGGGAGATAGAGAGCTAGGAAAAGCTCGAGTGGCTGTCTCCAGTGACCATGAGGTGTGGAGGAAAAGAAGGGGGATGTCTCAACCATCCACCTCACTCGTTACATGCGCCAATAGTGAAGAGCTGCAAGCTCAAGTCGATGCCTTGACCCAGAGGATAGAAATCATGGGAGCCCAGATAAGGGCCCTTGAGGAAAGAGAGCAAGAATCTTTCCTCACCATTGATGGTCTGCAAAGGCAATGCAAGAAAAAGGATAATGAAATAGAGCGCCTCAAGGATCAGTGTGCTGACTCTAATGAGCAAGCTATCCAAGCATCCAAAGCTGCTAGAACCAGTTTGGATAGCCAACTCCAAGAAATAACCGCCAAATCAGCACGCCTTGAGGCCGAATCAGCAAAACAGGCTCAAACGATCAATGATTTGTTGCAAGACCTCACTAGGACTCGATCAGAAATACGCCAAGAGCGAGAGGCCAACCAGAGACTCAACAAAAGTCTCGCTGAGCTACGCTGCAAAGAAAGAGACGGGCTAGCTCAGTACGACCAAGTACTACAAGAGAAGGACCGAGCCCTTGCAAAACTCGATGAACTGCAAGCCTTGGTCATCCATCAAGAAGCGAAGATCAAAGAGGCTCAAAAGTACAGTGAAGATATGAGCCAGGCGGTCCAGAAGCAAAGCGAAGCACTCGCTCGTCACGTCCGGGAAGCCGAAAGGGAATTACATAGAGATCAAGACCCACCTGTGGGTTTCTTTAGGCTTTTCCGTTTCTGCCAAAAGTTGCTTCGTAGTATGGAGTAGGGGAATGTACACCTTCCAACGGATAAATGAAATTTTTCTTTATTCAACAATTGTCTACTTGCATGCATATCATTCATTTGCATATTTAATTTCCCCTCCTTCACTACTAATAAATAAGATAATAAAAAGGAAGGATTAACTGACACGTCTTCCAAATCAGAAGAATGGAGAGAAAACCACTCCTAATCAAGCTTTCCCCAATGGTTGACTCGCCGCAAGAAGACAATAAGCCTCGACCATTGGTCCTCAAAAATAAGGAAGAGGGGGCAAGGACACCAGTGCGACTATTTATGCCACATCCTTTCCCCTACGAATCAAATAAAGTTGTACCGTGGAAATATGAAAAATCTTCACCAATAAAAGAGGATATCACGAATATAGCCGACATTGGGGGCATGACTAGAAGTGGAAGAATCTATTCCCCCAAGGACTCACATGAAGATGTCCCCAAAAATAAAGGAAAAAATAAAAATACCGAAGAAAAAGAAAATAAAGAATCCAAAGAGGAGACAGAGGAATTACTCCAGTTTATAAGGCAAAGCGAGTATTCCATTATAGACCAACTCAATCATACTCCTGCAAAGATAACCCTATTATCTCTAATGATGAACTCGGAACCGTACAGAAACGCCCTGATAAAGGTCTTGAGCGAAGCGCATGTACCTCACTCCATATCCCAAGAAAAAGTTGAGAGGATCGTCAGTCACATTATGGCAAGCGATCACCTCACCTTCACAGAGGAAGAACTCCCCCTCGAGGGGTCAAACCACAATAAGCCCTTGCACATTTCAATCAAGTGCAAGGAGTACCTCATCGCTAAATTTCTTGTGGATAATGGGTCATCCTTGAACGTGATGCCCAAGTGCACACTGGAC